AAAAAAAAAAAAAAAAAAGTGACCCTCCTTATAGGTTGTTTTGTGACATTTATGTACACAAAACAGTCTACGTGTTTGCAGGAATTTTCTTTGGTGTGTACTAAATAGGGCGCTGTCTGCTGCTTGTGATACAACACATCTTTTAGCTCACTCAACTGTCTGCATGGAAAACTTACCACTCAGGGCCAGCATCTTGGCATTGAGTTTATGGAACTGGGCATCCATAAAACAATGAATGGATTTATACTCATTCATGGATGTAGATTTTTTTCATTGTTCCTGATGTATTTATCGATCATGTTTTCCATTTAATGGTAACCTAAGTAATGGAAGGTACTAATAGAAATTCTAAATATTCCTTTTATTTAACTATTTTGTAACATGTTTCAGCATTGAAACTGCTGGAAATTGCTTTTTAAAACACCAGAATTGACCACCTCATAGTCAATCTTCTAAGTGCAGGAAAAAGCCTACCACATTGGAATGCTAATAGTGTCCACGGAGCTAAATCATAGGCTTTGTGGTTTATCTACCAGGAACAATAGGCAGTGATGCATCCTCAAGTTTACAAAGCAATTTGTGATGCTCCATGAAATTATATAACTGCATAAGACTACGACAGACTTGAATATAGAATAGTAGTGATGTTTTTGTAGTGAACCACTATCTACCATTAACTGCAATACTTCTTAAATATAAATTATGTACTGTGGAAAGTGAAATAGCCATTTGAGTCATAGTGTTTAATGGAAAAGCAGAATTAGTGAGCATGAAGGAACTTTAGAGAGAGTTGAGTGAGGATGGCATGTTCCATACTATTTTCAATTCTTCGATCACAGGAAACATCACCAATTCAGAGCAGCCTTTCTTACTGACTGTACATAATATCTCTGTTCTTTTCATCTGAGTGTTTCATACAGTACCTGAAACCGCTACTACCTGTCAGTCACAGATGACAGCAAATTGAAACATTTTTGTAAATTTTTTATCTATGTTACCTTCTTCCTTATAAAAATGATCACATCAGATACTGAAAGGATTGTCACTTGACCACACCTAAGGTCACACCTTAGGAAAGCAATATTATGCTATTTCATAACACTCAAACTAAATTAGTAATTTCACAGTAAAAACTATTCAAAAACAAATGTCTTGTATTCAGTATCCTGGCTATCAGGGAGATGGAGGGAGGAGGCTGAAGTAAGGGAGAGGCCCTGATGCTGCACACATGTTCCTCGTCATTAGTATTTGTTGAGCACAGGTGTTCTTCAAGCATACATGTTTCTTATTAAGCACAGGTGTGTCTCATTGAGCCCAGGTGTTCCACATAGTTAAACACAGGTGTCCATTGACCACAGATGGTCCTCATTAAGAACAGGTGTTGCTCCTTGAGTATAGGTGTTCCTCATTATGGTTAAGCCCTGGTGTTCCTTATTGTTAAACAGGTCTTGCCCAGTGAGCACAGGTGGCCTTGTTATTGAGCACAGGTGTTTGTTATTGAGCACAGGTGGTCTTGTTATTGAGCACAAGTGTTTGTAGTACTCGTTACTAAGCACACATGCTCATTATTAGTACCAGTGTTCATCACTGGTGTTATTGGTGTACATGTGTTCCTCGATATTGTTATTAAGTACACTATTACAGTGTTGCCATTAAGCACATATGTACACAGCAGATTTTTAACTATGTTGCTGACACATTCCTGTTACAAAGCATAGACTTTATTGTCAGCTTGATTGGTTGGGCATCCTTTCTGATTGGTAGGTGCTTATGTCCTTTCAGGTGTTAAATATTTTGCATCTCATCTCTAATACCAGTTCCTTTTCATGGTGTGACTAGCAGGAAAAATAGCATTCTATTGTAGTATCAGGTCACTGTTAACTCCTAAGACTTATGCTCTTTTTAGGGATCCATAAGGGCAGTATCATTCTTCTAAGTAGAATCTCAAAATTGCCTTTTGAGATATAGTCCTTTTGTTACCTAGTAAAAATTACTTTCCTAGTCCAAGAATCATCTCATACTTTTATCGCTTTAATTATAAACACATCTGCTTAGAATTTCCATTAGTCAACCTGCATTTAAATGGCTTTCACTAATACAGTGATTTTATTTCTAATCAGATAAAAAAAGTTTATTTTCTCATCAGTTAGTGTAATCTTTTTTTATTAAAGATTTTGCCTTTACCTTTGGGAGAAACAAAAACACATAGGACACTTCTCTCAGGTAGGTTGGACTTTTCTATAAAGTAAGAGAGTGTGGTAAGCAGGGAGAGAGAAGAGAGACACAGCCTGGCCAGCTGGATGGGTCTGATAAACCCCAGACTCAGTGGGAAAGCCATGTCATCCTCACATTGACCTCATAACCTCTAACAAAAATGCAGCCATCCTAAAACATTTTCCCCACCCCTTAAGAGGTCTCCTTCTTTCATATTGCCTGTTAACATAAAGTAAAAGCCTAAGTTGTTAGTAAAGAAAAAAACAGTTGAGGAATTATTTCTAGTCTATCATTTTCTTTCTCACCTGCCAGGAATACAATGAGAAGTTATGAGAATGTAGATTTAATATGTTTCTTTTCTTACAAGGTAAGCTTATCTCTGAATAGACAAGGTAAATGGTTTCCGAAAGAAAGGACATAAGGGAGACTGGCAAATAGGGACAGTTATTTTATTGGTTTTGTTTTTTCTATCACAATTTCAGAGAATAAAGATAATCTTACAAAGAAAGTAAAAATTAATTGTACTCACACAGTGCATAGGTAATGAGTAATTTGGAGGTGTATACCATTCCGGATATTTGTACATATATATAAATAGCCCTGCAAGTAGCTGGGACTATAGGCGTCTGCCACCACTCCTCCTGGCCTCAGTCACAATGTTCAGTGAACCAGTTCCTATAATGCAGTGGCTATTTGCTTATGTATGTGACTGTGTAATGTGTTCATGTGGGCATGTGTGCTCATGTGACCAGTATTTCAACTGGCATAAATTCTGTAAAAGGAACTTGGTATGGCATACTAGGCATATTTTAAATTTTGCAAACCATGCGGCATTACGGTCAGCTTGCACAACCCACCACTGCTAGTCATTTCCAAAATCTGTATCTCTTTACAGGGTAGACATAAAGTCCGTGTGCAGTTTAACATAGTAAATTGCACACAAACTTTATGTCCACACTATATTTTATTATTGGTTATTATTTTAGCCTTTGCCACCTCTTAGATTAAAACATTTTATTGTTGTTTAAATTCGTTACTAGTATTACTGAGGATCTTTTCATATATTCATTGCCTTTTGTGTTCCTTTTTTGTGTGTGAATAGTTTCCATTTTTCTGTTGGTACTTTTTTCCTTTCTTTTTGATTTGCAGAAGAATTTAAATTTTTTTTCCCAAGACAGTCACTCTGTTGCCCTGGGTAGAGTGCGTGACTGCAGGTGCCTGCCAGGCTGAAGCAGGAGGATCTCTTGAGCTCTGGAGTTTGAGGTTGCTGTGAGCTATGATGACACCATGACATTCTAGCCTGGGCAACAGAGTGAGATTTCCTCCAAAAAACAAAC